CTTCACAAACAAAATTACAATAGTGAATTGTAATACCCTCTTCAATAAAGATTCCCAATAACCATTGCTACAATATATCCTCATACGTATAACTGATAATAAGAATCACATCCATAAAAAAAAAATGGTTATGGGCATTCACTAATAATTAAAATACATACACCACAAGTATATATATATATATATTTTTTAAATCTTGGAAATTTCAAATCTTTAATTTTAGATATTTCAAACTTTTAATTCTTAGAAATTCCAATTTTTCATATTTTCTACATGCAAAATCTTATTTTATGCATTTTAGACTGCATAAAACACCACAAAATATTACAGGATTTTTTTTTTTATAGGATTATATTCCAATTTCCCCCAATACAAGTTTTCCATAAAATCTTAATCTACTTGAAATTTTACGTTCATGTTTATTTGAATGACAATCATTTGCATGTACAATTTATTGTACTATAATTATGAAAACCATCACAAATGTGCCTCTAAACAAGCATAAATAGTGTTTGTACATATATAAATCAAACTGCATGCTTAACCCATAGCAGTGATTGGTTAATACATGCAGGTGTGAATATCAAAGAAAAATAGTAAGTATGCCTGTGCTTTTCCTAAGAATTTTGAGAATAGTGGATATGCTTATGCTGCTCTTGAGAATATTATGATTAAGAATTACCAGAAATAAAGGAGAGCTATGAAACTATCCATCGGCTCAACTTTATCATCTGGTTTTACTAACTCCTAGTCCAAATACTAAACTCCATTTGGACATTTTTACTTCATATAGATAAAAGAAATTGCTATTCAACTACATTTTCTAGTACATTATCTACTGATGCACTTGATTTCTACTTTTATGGACAAGAAAATGCTATATAGTGAATAATGCATCTTATAAGCTGCAAAATATTAACCTGAGGTGTTTTCATTTTAAGAGTACCAAGTGGCCCATTAGCTTCATCAAAGGGATGAATACTTTACACTCTTCATGCTACTTAATCATGATGCATTTTTCAAATATCTTGCACTAATATGTATACGCTAGAGATGTCTTATGTCATCATATTTTTTACAGCATTTTGGGGACCTTTTGGTTAAACTGGTACATCAATTTTTTTATGCAGTGTATTTCAACATCATGTTTGCCTTTGGTTCTTGAAAGGTTTGTAAGTGTTCTTGTAAAAGAACAGTGGTTCTCCAGAGGAAGTCATGGATTATCAAAACATAATTTTATGATATATGCTAATCCATTCATCCCTCTGTTACATAACATCTTCAATACAATATTGATACATATATAATACAGACACATTTTAAACATCTTGGGAAGATGCAACACCTCATATTTCTGCTCTGAAGAAAGGCGTCAGCAGAACCATTCATAATCACCACTGCTGTTCTAACCTGACTTCCAAAGTACATGCAAGCTTTCTTGTGCAATAGCACCAGTAGTCAGGAAGTTCATATTATATATTCAGTTAGAAAAAGATTACATTTCACATCTGACGACTATCACATGACCAAAATCTGAATAAGTTTTTCAATAAATTATCAACAAAGTACCTCTACTTCAATATTTACAAAGCCAGTAGCAATAAATTGGATATAAACAACTTTTGGGCCATCTGGAATGCATATTTAGAAAAAGGCTTTGCAGCCTTATTATAAAATACCCATTTTTTACTTCATCTTTTTCTTTTTCGCAGAATTTAACAATTCTACACCTTATCTTCAACATAAGCATAGAAAATATAATAATCAAGGTTCTGTATTTAATTTGAAAAATCTGGTAAATGAAGAAGCAGTAGAAGAAGAAGAAAAAGAAGGAGAAGAAGAAGCAGAAGAAGAAGATAAAAAAAAGAAGTGTAACATCTTTACCAAACACTACAAGAATACATAATAATAAGCATTTAAGTTATCCAGTCTAATATACCCCTAAAAATAGACCAGGCAGTAATTAGTACATTGACTGAACTCTTAGAATAACCCCCAGGAATACATATATATATATATATATATATATATATATATATATATATATATATATATATATATATATATATATATATATATATATATATATATATATATATGCTCCTTAAACACTAATAAAAAAACAATCACAAGATTTACGTCATCACTTCATCACACACAAATAATTTCACCAATGCTAAGGAAGTAATTTTAAAATGAATTTATCTCACAACCAAAATGGGAAGGATGTATCTACCAAGCATACATTTGCACATAGACATATATAAATAAACGTATCTCTATGTGCATTTTTTTATGACATCTTACCATCCAGTTAAGTCAGTAAAGAGTTTTGTGTGCACATAGAACAGGATGAATAATTGTTTGGTCTACTTCAATACACAATTATTTCATTTTCATTTGTTTTTAATCTGGATGCTCGTAATGAGATTAATTCAAACGTTAAATCTTCAGAATGACTTTTGCTGGTTTGTGCAGTGTGTGCTCATCTCCAAGAATCACATTTCCTGTACTTTAGCTTTTAAGGGTTAAAAGCAACTATATTAAAAGCAATATAATCAAAGTTCTATACCAGTATCCAAATGTATGACCTTAATTATTGTCTTTATTCCATTTTTTTCTTCTTTTTTTTACTTTTTATTTTTTATTTTTTACAATTTCACAATTAAGTATAAAAAGCCTTATTAAGCTGACTTACTCATCATAGATATAAAAAAAAAAAAAAAAAAAAAAAAAAAAAAAAAATCTAAATCATGGAATAGTGAACAGCTTTACCTGATATTTATGTTGTAGAATAAGTTTCATCAATCATTATAAATTGTCACAAAATGCAAGACAAGGCTATTTCTACTGTAGACCAAATTAAGTCTCTTTCTGCTAATGCATGAAGAGCTAATGAATAACTCTAAGTAACAATTATGAAAAAATTACGGTAAGTTGCAACTTTCAAATGATTTTCATAAATCTGAATACATTACAAATTACTTTCTGAAACACAATCACAACAATCAGAATCATATTGACATTCAATAATGCTTATGATTCTTTTTACAATATACATAGGTAGACAATAACCAGGGAGTAGTAAAAGAAACTTTGAGGTTGAAAATAAATTATATGAAATTTTAAACCATTCTAGTTCAATCATGACTAGAGAGATGGAGAGGGAGAGGGAGAGGGAGAGGGAGAGGGAGAGGGAGAAAGAGGGAGAGGGAGAGGGAGAGGGAGAGGGAGAAAGAGGGAGAGGAAGAAAGAGGGAGAGGAAGAAAGAGGGAGAGGAAGAAAGAGGGAGAGGGAGAAAGAGGGAGAGGGAGAAAGAGGGAGAGGGAGAAAGAGGGAGAGGGAGAAAGAGGGAGAGGAAGAAAGAGGGAGAGGAAGAAAGAGGGAGAGGGAGAAAGAGGGAGAGGGAGAAAGAGGGAGAGGGAGAAAGAGGGAGAGAGAGAGAGAGAGAGAGAGAGAGAGAGAGAGAGAGAGAGAGAGAGAGAGAGAGAGAGAGAGAGAGAGAGAGAGAGAGAATGTTTACAGAAAACTACACAATAAATGATCAACCTCAGAAAGTTCACTACAACATGTAACACAATTAAGTAATCTTGATGAACTACATGCATGTTCAGAAATATAGAGAAGATATGGATGAGAATGAACATCTTGACAATACAGGTGATGTATTTAACCAGTTTCAAATATATCTTCATCAGAAATATCGTCAGAAACACATGTATTTCTGATATATTCGAAACTGGTTAAATACATCTCTTGTATTATGAAGCTATTCATTCTCACTCATACCTTTCTTACATTAAGAAATTTAATCATTTCTTCTTACAATAAAATTACAATGAGTCATATAATCTCTTAGTGTTACTGGTTCATAAATAACAGTTCCTTTTTACAGACATTTGCTTATCTGTATAGCAAAAGCACAAAACCCTTCAAGGTTCCCATTTTAAAATGCCTCAGGCTTGTATGTTTAAGGCACTTACATTAATTGAAAGCTAGTACAAATATCTCCTTTTTTTATATCAATGTATATCTTTCCAAACTATTTTTCCTCCAGCATTTACAGTTTGCATAACTGTTAGATACATTAAGTACAATATGGATAACAAGAAACATTTACAGCCCTTTTGTTTTATTCTCCACGAATAAAGTCTTGTTGTGGGCTACTATTTTGAAGGTATATATTTTCCTGTTCTTCTTGTGATTATAAGATCTGAATAAGGAGGGTTTCTTTTAAAAGAAATAAATTTAAATGCAAGTGGAATTCATTATCATAAACACTTTAAAATGAAAGAGGTAAAAATCTAACATCGGTTTTTGCTGGAAGTACTATGCATCTCATACAACAATAACGCCACTCTTATCTTCTCCAATCTGTCGCTTTATCTTGGAGTATAATGCAATATATATATCAGATATATATTATAATCTGTAAAAGGTACCTTAAAGAGTACATCCTGAGTAAACAGGAATATGACAAACACCAAAGATTGTCAAAACGGCAAGGCTACGAGTGCGGCTCAATCTGTTAGCACCGTAACATCAACCACACCAACAAAGCTAACTGCCTCGGTCTTCTTGAAACTTGAACAATTATAATTATGACAGAGAAAAAATATGTATATATAGTGGCCTTACATCAATAACACTTTAACCTTTTCCCTCACTTTTCTGGCCATACTACCACCTTCAAAAGATTGAATCATAACCAGTGATGTATCTGGGTAGTAAGGCATACACAACAATCAAACAACAGTTGTAATAATACAGGTACTAGACAAAATTAGTGACAAGCAACAGGTGTCAACTTATACTCTGAGTATGCTGGGTTTGTCTTTACACCGAGACAAACTTATTGGCCACGGTCTACCCAAGCGCATCCTAAAATTTATTGCCCATAAATTAGTGTATAAGAGGCATTTCCAAAACGTATAAAAAAAAAAAAAAATTGTTAAGAGATCTCGATAACTGGTTCTTCAAGGAAGCGGTCATAACTACGAGTGTGTGTGTGTGTGTGTGTGTGTGTGTGTGTGTGTGTGTGTGTGTGTGTGTGTGTGTGTGTGTGTGTGTGTGTGTGTGTGTGTGTGTGTGTGTGTGTGGTGGGTTGGTGTGCTTGTGTCTGTAAGTGTGCTTATGTGTCTATGTGTGAAAATCAATAGAATAACTATTGAACTTTACAGATCTCAAAAGTAAAAGAACGAAGCCAAATCCTGTCCATAGTATACATCACTATCCAGGCAATATGAAAAACTACAAGCATGCATTGTGCACCATCAGCACAATCAAAACTAGTCACAGTCTTCATAAACTATGCTGGAAATTACAGAGTAGAACCTTATAAAACTTTATACAGGAACAGCAACATGAATTTCCTCATTTCTGCACTTCCTCTACCATCTGAAAAAAATCACTCTGCACTCTATTATGCTTCCCCCTTGAATATATTAAAACCGCGATTTCTCATGACCGCAAATTTAACAAAAATAGAGTCAAGATATATTACGACAGCAAGGCAAGCCAAAAGGAGATACATAAACTCCAAACAAATCAAAAATATGATCTATGGAATGTAAAATGAGTTAAGATTAGTGCACATAATCTTGGAATGCAATATTAGCCAAGTGAGAGGAGTTGCATGTCATACTGAGTGTGAGAATAGAATTATATACATATATTAAGGAACTAGAACATATTTTCAGAGATAAAAGGGGGCACTAAAAATAATAATTATATCATTTATAGATGAAAACGAGAGGCAGTCATAATTGAGTGTCCTAGCCCAGCAGTATTTTTTCAATTCAAGAAAGTATGATGCAAAAAACAAATGGTCTTCAATAAGCATGAATCTACAGCCATGATCAAGGTAAAACCCTATAAAGGAAGGTAAGTGCTTGTAGGAGCTTCAGTAGAATAAATGGATAATATCTACTACCTATTAATTCCTCAGATATGGGTCTTGTAATATCATATGTGACCCCAAAAATATCATATGGTAACTCCCTCCTCCAGTTGCCTACCCACACACTCATTCAAACCCATACAATGTAAATCAGCAATAAATTCAAACACATCATTATGTTTTTGTGATTATCCAAAAAAATACAATTGCCTGAGGGTGTTGCACAACTACTTTTAGGCCACCTACAAGGGAATAAACTCGGAATATCTCTATGCTGGGAAGAATGTAACTCAATCGTACTGATGTATTAAAAAGTCATGCACGTTAAGTATCAGACCTTCTAGTAAGGAAACCTGTTAGAGTAAGCAAGATTTAATCAAGCATAATACTCCACTGAATTGTTAAAAGCGCTTCATGACTAATATTTAAATGTGCAAATAATGCTAAAACTTTATAGGTAATAGAAACAGTCCAATACCAAACTATGAAGTTACCCTTTCATATTTTTTTTTAAGTGTCAAATACTGAGAAGAAAAAAAGATTACTAAAGTTTTATTCTTTAAACTACAGGAAACTAAAATATGTGTATTCTGTCTATATGAACTGTAATTCAACAGATGAGAATATAAATAACTTAAAAGTTAATATCTTTACATTTAAACTTCCTTTTGCAAATTTGTGAAAAAAAAATCAAGAATAAAGCACTGTGATACAAGTTCTATACTTATCAAAAGATAGATAAGGACTATTTACTATCAAAATTATCTCATTGTGCAACATTGCATCTATTGTCTAGTCTTGTCCCATTCCTGTAAGATCCTAATGGAAGCACAAAACGCACATTAAATACCATTATTCATTTAGTATAAGTACACAAAAGACAGGAAAAGTGACAGTTTTCAGTACGATAAGCATGAAGTTATTTAAGTAAAAGGTCTTATCGGGAATCTTAAATTTCCTTTGGTAATTAACAGCCATAAAATCTCCTTTTGCCATTCACTCTCTAAAGTTAAAGGAATCCTTTTTTTTCTTTTCTTTTTCCTAACGACTGCCTGAATATTAAAAGACCTGTTAACTATCAGCCAAAGAAACGATGAGCAAAGATAATAAGTTAAATGACTGAATAATAGAATAAGTTGATTAAAAATGATAAATAAATCATTGTGAGAAAACCATAATAATAAAATAAGTTAACCAAAATGATTAAATAATTGAATATACTAACTGAAATTCATGATGAATCAATAATAAATAATAATTAAGCCGATGCAATTTCTAGCATGGAATATCACTAAAGAGACATCCTTTTACAAAACCTAAAATGTAAAACAGGCACCATAAAGCATAAAATATTAAGAATTGAAAAACAATGTTGCATTAGCCAAAGACAAACTCTCTTCCATAAATAAAAAAAAGTCCTAAATCCCTGGTAATATTACTATTGTCACTCCTCTTTTACCACATGAAAAGAATAAAATCAAATAAATACAAAGAAGGACAATCATGAATAATGACGCTCTAGATAACAACAGCCACAAAAACGATGATAAAAGAAGCATTATCTCGCTTGCCTTCCTGTCGGCTGTCATGTGCATTCCGGAGTACGTTTCCGCAGCCACAACGTAACCAGGAAAGATGACGACAGCTCATGCTCTCTTCAGGCCTCTTAAATCCCATCACATCAAAACACAGAAGAATCACAGAAGAACGACCTATAAAATCTCATTCTAATCTCACCTTCAGTTCGGAAATGATTTAGATAAATGATATAACAATGTAGCTTTTAAAAATGAGAGAGACAAGATGAAGAAGAAGAAGAAGAAGAAGAGGGGAAGAAGAACGAACGAAGAAAGAAAGAGTAGTAGGTGTACATTTAAAAAAAATATCTCAGAAATTCTCAACCCTCTGCAAAACTCCATGAGCTTTGCAATGCAATCAACAATCAATACAGAATTTCATCAAACAAATCCAGCAGACTTTGGAGCAAGTCTGTAAAGGAAACTTGTACTAATTTACCAACAATCACAAATACCAAGACAAAACAGGCAAAAAGAAATGTGACATACATTCTCATGAGAATATTCTTCTGTGGGCATATCATTATGTGCACGTATGCATGCAAGTTTGTGTGTAAGAAACTATTTTTTAAAACAACATATTTGAGCAAACAGAACCAAAAATAAAAATTTTAAGCGTAAGGAAATTTTTCTAACCTGACTGAAAGTCATTTTGTGAAACTAACTTGTACATCAGGAATCTGGCGGATAAAAATTTAACGATTACATTATCTTGTGAGATTATTCATTGGTCAACAGATACAAAAATTCAGGGTAATTTAAAAAGAATTAAATCCCTTACACATCTTCTAAAACGAGAACATTTATAATCTCCTTACTATACACATCTTCCCCTAATCATCAATCAAAATCCACAACCAAAATCCATGCTTTGTACAAAAGGTTTCATTTCTACATCAAAAGTTTCCATCCACGGGAAAATTCCAAAGAAGTTATGACAATGGTAAATGCAAACGACCAGGACCACCAAGAACTGTACTATTTCTAGACTCGCCACGTATGACCTGGGTTGACCTGCATATAACTCACTACATATAAATATCCGAAACGATCAACAGGTTAAAGTACTTATGTTAATATAACCCCAACAACTACAGTTAAATATCCTTTCACTGATAATAATGACTATATTTTCAATAAGTGTTACAGTAACTGTAACTTAAACTGCCCTGCTACATGTAAGAAGTAAAGACCATAAATCTCTTATACTTCTCACCTGCTTTCTTATACACTATAGGTAGGTGGCAGTGTAATTAAAGCTTTATAACATACAGCTATTACATATCACAAAAATCTTCAGTATGTTAAGTAAATTAAATGTAGCAATTTATGCTGGAATGACCAAAACATCACAGTCTGGAATAAAGCTTCTAAAATTAAATCACTGGAAAAAACGTTATCCACAAATCAACGGCAAAATGTACCCATTTCCCACAGGCTTTGCAATCATCACAAACCACTTACAGGAGGCTGGAACAAAATACAAACCACAAGAGGTTTCCAGTTCTTGTCCATCTACAAGCCAGAGTGACTGACGTATCACTGCTCATCTCCGTTTCCAGTCATGTCAGCCTTCTGCTTTTTTTTCAGTGATTTATTTTCGGACACTTATTTCTTCATTTCTGCCATTACCTCCTCCTTACACTCCTCCCGTAACTTGGCCAAGCGTGCCCGAGGGAAGGATCCAGACACCTTGAAAACATTCTGTAAAAGTAAAAGAAATTATATGACACTATTCTTTCTTGAGTTCTTTTGGGATTTCTTAATGACAGTCTTTGATAATCATTAATGAAGTTTAAGTATTCTGAATTTACATGTGGAGATTCTCCCAGTCTTCAACAATTATTTGTAAGATGAGCAAAATTAAGTATCCAGGATTTATGTATGGATGATTTTTCTCCATTCAATAAAAGGGAAATTCCAATAACTACATTTTTATTTCATTTCCAGTATCAAGACAAGGGTGAAAAAAAAAAAAAAAAAAAAAAAAAACAATGGACTCTGCACTACTTACTTCCATAAAAGTATGACAGTCAATGGCATCAGCGTCTTTAGTGATCTTCTTAAAGCATTCTATGATGTCCCCAAAATCTTGGCTCATGAGAATCTTCTGCTCGTTCGACAGGACAAGAGTGATGGCCACACGCATCAAGATCTTGTTGCCTTCGTAAAACAGGCAATCCCAGATTCGTAGCACTGTCTGCATGGAAAACACTAGAGTTCGTTAAAAGATGAGACTGATTAAACAAATGTAACAAAACACATACAGTACATTTAGTTATAATGTCTCATACACAAAACCAGCCCTAATTATACCACTTTTGCAGTGGCCAACATTACCTCAATGGGTAAGACTTCAGCAAAAAGGCAGATGAACCATTTCGTGGTGAGGAGGCCCCAAGTCAGCTCATAGTGTTTGATGTGTCTCCAAACGAGATTGGCTCTCTCTCTGTTTGCGTAAAAAAATAACCAGTTCAATACATTTCTTTTAGGAAAACAAGAGAAATAAAGTTTGTTGGTTGGTATTTTGCTGAATTAAACATGTCAAAGTAAAAGGAATAGACTGGTGATAATACAAATTTCATTTTGATACAATATAGTTTTGTGTAAGTATTATCACTAAGCTTTCATATCTTGTGTA